GCACCAAGATGGTGTATGTTGGATGGTTCCAGAATATGCACCAAGATGGTGTATATTGGATGGTTCTAGAACACACACCAAGACCTTGGAATAAACACCAAGATGGTTATATTGGATGGTTCTGGAATACACACCAAGACCTTGGAATATGCACCCAGATGGTGTATATTGGATAGCACTGGAATATGCACCAAGGCTCTGAAATAGGCACCAAGATGGTGTAGATTGGATGGTTCTGGAATATGCACCAAGGCCTTGGAATATGCACCAAGATGGTTACACTGGATGGTTCTGGAATATGCACCAAGGCCTTGGAATATGCACCAAGATGGTTACACTGGATGGTTCTGGAATATGCACCAAGGCCTTGGAATATGCACCAAGATGGTTACATTGGATGGTTCTGGAATACACACCAAGGCCTTGGAATAGGCACCAAGATGGTTACATTGGATGGGTCTGGAATACACACCAAGGCCTTGGAATAGGCACCAAGATGGTGTATGTTGGATGGTTCCAGAATATGCACCAAGATGGTGTATATTGGATGGTTCTAGAACACACACCAAGACCTTGGAATAAACACCAAGATGGTTATATTGGATGGTTCTGGAATACACACCAAGACCTTGGAATATGCACCCAGATGGTGTATATTGGATAGCACTGGAATATGCACCAAGGCTCTGAAATAGGCACCAAGATGGTGTAGATTGGATGGTTCTGGAATATGCACCAAGGCCCTGAAATAGGCACCAAGGCCCTGAAATAGGCACCAAGATGGTGTATATTGGATGGTTCCAGAACACACACCAAGACCTTGGAATAAACACCAAGATGGTTATATTGGATGGTTCTGGAATACACATCAAGACCTTGGAACATACACCAAGATGGTAATATTGGATGATTCTCTAATATACACCAAGACCCTCAGGGATTTTTTCTTTAGATTATACTGGTTTGCCCATGGACCTCCATGGAATTGTCCTTTACTACCATCAGACTTCAGGAGCTCAATGGAGTGAGCTCCAACAGTCTGCACTGTTCTACTGCATTGACTTCAAAGGCCAATTCCATCCTCATCTTCTCTGGACTGGGAACAAACTGGTTTCCCCATTCCAAGCACAGCCCTTACCAGCAGGAGGCAGCTCTGTTTGTCACAGGATATGCAGCTTTTATTACTACTGAAAGGTTTCTTAAGCCACAAGTCTTAAAATGAGAACATTTTCAAGATGTTTTCCATATCTCACTGTTGTTTGCCTCAAATTTTCAACACACTCTCTTCAAATTATTTCTAAGAATTTGACAAAATGAGGCTTTTTAACACTTAGTTATCCTCCAAACTTTTTCTCAGCTGGAATGTTAAGCTCATAAGGATAAACCCTTCAAAAGGTTAAGAGCTTTGTGGATCTATGCCAAAGCCACATGAATCTGAAGAAAAACTCCCAGGAATTCAGTAGGCTCTGGAGTCTCACAAAGAGTATTTTAAACTCCTCCCTCCCAAAATAACAGCAAATAGACTTATAGAACTGAACTTGCAGGGAATGGAAATCTGTTGGATGCTCAAATAGGTGAAAATATTCCAGATCTTGAACCCAGCAGAGCCCAAATGAGTACTCACCCCTGGGGATGGTGAAATAACTCCTGGGAGTAGGGTCCCAGCATTTGGCTACTGTTAGGCTGATAGGTCTAGGAAGAAAGAAAACAGGTAGAGATGATGACTCTTAATTTTCCTACAGAGTTGGAACTGCTGCAAAGAACTGTTTGAGACAAACTTGTTCCTATCCAACAGTTGTCAAGCACATTCTGAGAATATTTTTGACATGCCTGTTGAAATATTCTCAGCACCAGTATCAGGATGTTTCTAGTCGTGCACAGATGATGAGCACTACTAGGGAAAACTGTTGAATGATCAGCTCCTGAGTTATTAAAACAAACACAACTGCTGAAACCAGGCAACTCCTGCCTTGTGTTGGTTTTGGCTGGTGCATTGAAACCAGTCTCACCCATTCACACTGAGGAATCCAGAGCTGGGATTAGTCCTGCTGGTCCTTATGGAGATCAGAATGCTGATTTCCCTGAGGTTTGCCCAATGGCAATAGCTGCACATGGAGGAGAAGCACCAAGAGGTGTGAAATGAGCTCACCCTGGTTTGGAGACGATTTCCCGCAGGACCCGAACGGCATCGTCATTGCTCATGTTCTCAAAATTGACATCATTCACCTGAAATGTGCAAAGAGCAGGGCTCAGGCCTGGCAGTTGGGAAGTTAAAGACATCTGAAATGTTCTTTCCCACTGGATTTGCCTTATACTGTCTCCATTCCTTTGAGCAGCTGCAGAAATGTTTCTCAGAGCACATGGACTGTCCAGCAGGAAATTATTGATTTGACTCAGTGTGTTAAGGGATTGGAATGGAGCTTAGAGATGATCCAGCCCCAACCCCCTGCCCTGGGCAGGGACACCTCCCACCAGAGCAGGTTGCTCAAGGCTTCATCCAACCTGGATTTGAACACTGCCAGGGTTGGGGCAGCCACAGCCTCCCTGGACAACCTTCTCCTCACAGGGAAAAAAAAGTCCTAATATCTAATCTCAATTTCCTCTTCAATTTTTGCCCATTGTTCCTTGTCCTATCACTGCAGTTCCTAACCAAGTCCCTCTGCAGCTTCCCTGGAGCCCCTTCAGCTCCTGCAGGTGCTCTGAGGTCTCCACACAACCTTCTCCTCTCCAGGTTGAACAGCCCCAACTCTCTCAGCCTGTCCTCATAGGAGAGATGCTCCAAATCTCTTATCAACTTTGTGGCCTCCTCTGAACTTGCTCCAACAGTTCCACATCCTTATGCTGAGAACACCAGAACTATGTGCAGGACTCCATTTAAGCAGTAACAGTCTTTGTGCCACATTTCTCTGGGTGTGAATGAATTCTGCTGACTGATTCCTAAGCCCATGGGCCTGGTGGGATGCCAGAGCTGAGCCACCCATGTCCAGGTCATGTCCTTTGGGCCCCAGACCAACCTGCAGCAGCATATCTCCTGGTTCAATCCTGCCATCAGCTGCCACTGCTCCTCCTTTCATTATAGAGCCAATGTAAATGCCACCATCCCCTCGGTCATTGCTCTGTCCCACAATGCTGATTCCCAGGAAGTTATACTTCTCTGTATGGATAGAAAGTACAGGGAGGGGAAGGGAAAAAAAAGCAGAGTGATTAGAATGATAACGAAGCGCTAACTTCAGCTCTAAAAAATCATCTCTCTCAACACATCAGCATTGTTGTTGGACTTACAACAATCTCAGGCTGCCCTGAGTGTCTGCCTGGCACCTTCAGGCAAAGGCAGCAGGAAATGCTGCTAAGGACATGAGTTTTTCATCCAGGGCAATGAAAAGTTGCATTCAAATAAGCAGCAAGAGATATGACACTGAAAGGACATGTCTACACCTGGAAATTAATTAGGCACCTGATCAGCATTAAGCAATGTTTGTTCCACATGTCAGAATGGGTTTGGTGCCACTGAAAGGTGCTGAATTAATTGGCAGCCCTGAACATTTCTGGCTGGCTAAAGGATGAAGCAGCAGAAAGACAAACTCCAGTGTCTTTCCCCTCTTGTCCCTAACAATGTCTGACCCCTTAGCATTCCTAGACACAAGAGCAGAACTCCATATCCTGCAGTTCCAGCTCCTTCCCTAGAAAGAACACTGATCTGCTTGTTAAAATGGCTTAGATTTTTATCTGTTCCTATCCAGAAGGAATGCAAACACAACCAACACTAGCAACTCTCAGCTGCCATTCCCTTTAGTTCCCCTGCCATCCTTTCAAACCAAGGAACTTTCTCCTGGCTCCAAAGGTCATCACAAAATTCATCTCTATCACTTGAAATTCATCATAAAAAACCCCATGGTTTATCCTCTTACCCATGTTGAGTGTGACAGTGATGATATTTAGGGACATGGTGGAATCAGTGATGCTGCTGAACGAAGACGACTGCAAAATACAACAAAGAAGTCTCAAGGTTTTAAGTGGCTCAGAATAAGACAATAAAAAGAACTATTGAGGATTAACTCCTCAGGAATTCATCAGTAGGTTTCCACTTGGAAGGCAGCCAGAAAGTATTGTGGCCTCCTCATATAGAACCTGTAAGGGAAAGAAATCTGGACCCAGTCTGCACCTTCCCCTGGGATTTGATCACAAAACACATACAGTGAGTTCCTACACTGAGATTTCTCAGCTGAACTTGACACTGAATCATTTCTGCTTCCTGACTGTGACTGACAGGCAAACACTTCAGTCCTGAAGTGCCCAGTGCTGTGTGAATTACTGCACCCACAGCTCCTCCCTGAAGAGACATGACCTGTCAGGAAGTGAGAACAGACACTCCCTCACCTCCAAAATGAAGTACAAACGTGCCCAGCAAAGATCTTCTAAAACATCACCCCAGTTCCTGTGATAAAATGTGTATGTGTGCTCATTTTTCATGTGTGAACACTGGTATTTATGGGAGAACTTCAGGAGTCTGTCATTTGGGCCATGCTCAGCCTGCTGCCACAGGTCTGGCACCAAAAAGGGCATGAGAAAAGATTTATGACCTACTATGAATCTAGACTTCTTCCACCAGAATTCAGGTCAGCCCTTCCCACATCAGCCAGCAGGAGCTTCTCCTGCAGAGACTGAGCTTGGAAAAGATAGGAAATGGGATCACTGACCAGTAAAAGGAGAAAGGGAGAGGAGAAAACTTGAAGTGCTGCAGCACTGTAGAGACTAATGCAGACTGGAGCCAAAGGGAACCTTCCCAACGAACCCAACAGGCACAGACCTGCTCTGGATCCCTTCCTGACTACATAGCTGAGCTCCAAGCTCCCAGTTCACCTGGCTGGAGGATGATGCTCCAAGCTTACCCTGTCGATCTGCCGCATCCTTTGTTTCCTCCTCCGGCGCTTGTGTTTCCGGATGAGCCGCGACGATGTGCTCTGCTCCGTGGAGCTACTCAACCTGGGGGAAACACAGAGATGTCACCTCTGCACAGCTCAGCCACTGCCACCTCCTGCACCCTGCCCAAACCTGCTGCTTCCTACACCTGCAGGAGAGAGGAAACCCTGCAGGCACCACCAGGCACCTTGTAAGAGCACAGGGAAGTTCAACTCCAGCACAGAGAATTTTACTGTCTTCATTTTATTTGGGAGCAAGTCTAACCCTTAGTATTCATTTCTGTGACTCTTGTCATGTATTTTCTTGTGTTTTCTTCTCTGCTTTCCCCTGCTGCTCTCCACCCTGTTGGTAGGAACTTAAGGCTTGAATTCAATGCAATAAACATCAATTGATATTAGCTACTACCAAAAAGTGACATAGGAATAGTAAATATGATTTACCTTCACATATTCTCTTAGTTTTATTTTGGTCTGGGTTTTTTTTCAGGCTCTTCAAACTTGTAGAACCACATTCTACATATAAATCCTTCAGATCCCATTAAGAGTTTGGAGCATTAATAACTTTTATTTTACAGAGAGAGAACTGAGGCACAGAGAGACATAAATGGATTTGCCCAAATTCATTTCAGGAGCCTGGAACAAAGCCTAGATTTGCAAGATACCAATATAACACCACAGAGATATCTCTCCTCTATTTATTATGTTTAAAAAAAAGACAAAGCAATGCTCCATCATCAATCAAGGTTAAAAAATCCAACCCTACACAACACAAGGCACTGAACTGGCACTGGCACAAAACAAACAGTGCCAGACTTTTTCCCCTGTCTCCATGTCCCTTCAAGTCCCAGGAACATGAGGATACCTCAAGGAAAAACTGATACCAACAACTCCAAAAAGGATCTTGGTGCCATGAGGCTCTAACCCACCACGTTGAGAGACTCATCCTGCATGAACTAGGTGTCCACAGATGCTGGAACTGCTCAGAGGGTGTGAAGCTCCTGCTATTCTCTTTGAGTTCACCCAACTATTTCAGGCATGTTAACCTCACACACTCCTTTTTCCCCTCCCAGCAAGGCCAATTAATTTACAGAACCTAGAGGTGGGAACAGCAAAGAGATCAAAAATGTGATAACTCCTGGTCTGTGGAAACAAGTCCCAGAGCACTTGGGTTTGTGAAGCTTTACCTTTCAACAGGGAAAATAAAGAGGTCTCAGATGCAAAGCTCCCAAAACTGGACTTGGTCAACATTCACCACTCAAAGATTGACACAAAAACCTTCTCCTTCCATTTCACTACCAATATTCTCCCTTTTCCTATCTCCTCCCTGTTTTTTTCTCCTTCTCTTCTCTCCCAGAACATCTCATCAGTAGGATTCAGCTAAAACTCTCCAGCAGTGTAGGTGAATTTGTGGAAGACAAAATATGTTGCTCCCACCACAGTGATGCTCAGACCTATTCTAATGAGCAGTAACATTTTGCTCTCTGAAGTATCCCCAGAAATACTGAGTAAAAGTTGTTACTACAGTTTGATGAACCAAACAAGATGGTTTATTTGAGACAAATGAAGGGCAAAGATGAAAAACAAATCTGGAATCATCACTAGCAATTCATTTCCTGCACTAGCTGCTGCCCAAACCCCTGACTGCACCTTGAACATAAAAGCTAATAAATCCATTCTACCATCCCCAAAGGAAGGGAAAAAAGGTAACATTTCTTCAATAAACCTTATCCATACAGTTTGAAAAGAACTAATGTTAATGTTACCATAATCCTTTGGTTTTGCAGTGAATTATTTTAGCTGCATTAAAGTGAGAATACCAAGTGCAAGTTGCTGACCATGATCCTACATGTCACACCTGCCAGATCTTTATTTGTTTAACAGAAACAAGACTTTTACTGTAAAGCTCACCACGAGCTCCCTGCATCAAGCTCCAGGCAGAATCCTACCTGCAAACAGCTCCACACTCACTCATATCACACCTGGAAAGGGAATTATTGCACTCACTCTGTCCTGACCTGTAACATCTATGAACAGGGTAATTCAGCAAAATAAAGCATTATTCCTTCTTAAATCAAACAGATCTCCATTGGAGAGGGAATTACCCAACTCTGCACAACTCCAGGTTAAAACAATATCAAACACACAGCCAGAGAAGCATCCTCAGCTTTACAACCTCTTCCTCCCAAGCCAGTAACATCCTTTACTGATTTCTTCTCTCAGTGACCTCCTCCCTGTACAACCTCCTTCCCAAAGCAGCTCTGACCCCACAGACCATCAACCAAACTCACCCCTTGGACCCCTCTGTCCCCAAGCCTCTGTCTTCAGCAGCTCTGGTGCATACTCCATTAGCTACTTGGCTGTGTTTGCCTCTAAAGAAAACTTCTCCCTGCCAGCACAATCTCTCATCTGCCTGAGAACATCATCCCTGGAACACAACAGCATACCTTGGAGCATTCCTTTGAGTGGTTCTTCCTGACTAGCTGGCCTGGCAGCTATTCTGTGTGCCAAGAGCTCCTGCCCCAGCCTCGAAAGGAAAAGAGCTGTGCAGCAGCTTCCAAGAATCTCTTTCTTCTTGTGTCATACACAGGAAGTTTTGCTTTATTAATACAGAAAGATTCAACAATGTGCTTCAGTGGCCACACTACCCGTGCTGATCCTGCCCTGCTGCAGAGTTTGCTGCCATGGGAATGGTTCATTTATGGACAAGAAACCCAAATCAGCTGCAGGGTTGTGGTTGTTGTTGTTTTTGTGAGCTTCATTTTTCAGGGAGGGAAGGAGAAGTGTTGGAAGCCCTAAAGGCTTAGAGTGCATTCAGGTTAACTACTGATCTTGCCAACCCTTTGTGCACAGGAATATCCAGCACAAAGCATCCAGAAGGGTAATTTTTTTGTATCTTCAGGTGTTGGCAACTTCATCATAGAATGGTTTGGCTTGGAAGAAACCTTAAAGACCATCTCGTTCCAACCCCCTGCCATGGGCAGGGACAACTTCCACCTCTCTGTAACTGAGCAAAGTAAGTTCTTGAAATTAATTCTGGACCAAATCTTTGCTGTTCATTGAGTTATCCTATAAGTTCTTGAAACTAATTCTGGACTAAATCTTTGCTGTTCATTGAGTTATCCTTTCAACCCTTTGGAAACACATAGCCTTTAAACAGAGTTTGGAGAAACTGCTGCTCTTCAACAGGGTTTTAAGCTCTTACAGCCTTTACACAGAGTTTGGAGGAACTATTGCTCTTCAACAGGGTTTTAAGCTCTTACTGCAAGACCAAACAGATCCACAGAGTTCAATAAGCTAATTGTGTCTGTACACACAGTAAGTGGTTCAGTATCTCCAGGACTAGCTGCTCTTTGCTGCTTCAGTATGGCCTAGAATTTAAAACTCTCAAGTTGTATCTTATCTGTTTTAGCTACAGATGTCTGTGACCCACCAGAATCTGTAACCTTGTTCTCTGGCAATTCATCTGTGATGTGTTTTCAAAACTCACTGGGATGAACAACAGCTCTAGAGACAGTGTTCAGGGAACATGGCCAGGAAAGCAAACAACATGACTTTTCATTGATTCTTACATCCTTAAAAATAAGTATTTTGAACCCCAAAACATGCATTGGCTTAGAAACCTTTCATGCAACAATTAAAATATCTTTAGAGATTAACAAAGATGTCCTGAACTGGAGCTGTTTCTTGCAGAAGGAATGAATAATTCACACTCTGTCTGCACTGAAAGAAGAAGGTAATTAAGAAGCCCTAAATATATGTCAACCCAAACTGCCTCTGCAGCAGCATTAACCTTGATGAATTCCTGGACTGCTCATACGCCTCAGACCATGCAATTACCCAGGAATTCCTTTATAATTCAGCCCTAGTGAAGTGCACATGTATTGGGAACCTCTGTGGAAGCTGTTTTGTTGTAATATTCACACCACTGCTTTCAAAATAGGTACACACTTGCACATGGCTTTGATCTCCAAATGTGACTATTCTTGCTGGTGAAAGGAAAGGACAGGGAGAGTTTCTCTCTTGGAGCAGTGGCTACAGGCAGGTTGGGGAGTGACCCAGTAAACTGAGCTTGATTCTCAGAGCAGATTATATTCAGGATCAGAGTATGTTCAGGGGTTGGAATGGAGCTTAGAGACAATCCAGCCCCAACCCCCTACCCTGGGCAAGGACACCTCCCACCAGAGCAGGTTGTTCAAGGCTTTAGCCAACCTGGAATGAAAACTGCCAGGGTTGGCCTCCCTGGGCAACCTGTGCCAGTGTCTCACCACCCTCCCAGGGCAGGGAAAAACCCTATTATCCCATCTCAATAGACAACATGATCTTACTGGTGAATTCTTAGTGCTGAAAGAGTTAGAGGGAAAAAAAAAAGAAAAAATTGATAGAGAAAAGGAAGAAGAAAAGAGAAGATGAAGATCTCCTCATCTCAGCAGTCATGTCTCAGAAGAGCCCAGAAACAGAGCGGAGTGCCTGGAAACAGATGGGAACAGCATTTCCCAGCTCAGTGACTCTGGCAGTGCCCTACCTGCTGGTGTTGTCGTCGTCCTCGGAGTCGATGAAGCTGCTGGACTCCAGCTCACTGCTCATCATGGTGGAGGAGCTGTCGTAGCCAGGAGGATGCTCACGGTGCCTGTCCAGCTTCGGGTGCCCATTGAGCCGAGGCACTGCAGGACAAAACCAGAGAGCTGTTACCATCAGGGAGAAGTGGCACTGTGAGCAGCAGGACACTTACACCCACAGCTGCACACAGGAGGATCCTGATGCCAAAGCCAAGCTCTGTGCAGAACCTGATCCCATCCAGCAGCTGGAAAACCTGCTGGCCCTCCAGCCTAGCTGCAATCCTCCTAACTTCTCTATTTGTCTGTGGCTCAGCTCATGGGCCAGAAATGGATGAGGCAGCAGGAGTATTAACAAGTACTGTAGCAGTATAGAAGATCAATGAGAATGGCCATGAGAAGTTGTGTCAATGGGAAGGTACATGTGAACATCTTGGAACAACAGCAGCTAACACAACTTCAATTAGTAATCAATGTGTGCATTTTAATCCATACATTTTCTATCTAATTTCTCTCTGCCAATAAAATTCCCATTTCTAAGGTTTCCAATCCATCCAGCATTGTTTGGAGAGTGAAGGTCAGGAATCATTAGCATCAATTGAGTGAAGAATCTCACAAATCATAATTCTAAGGAGTTTATCCATGAACTACTCCCATGTATCCAAGTCCTTAAGTCCCAGCAAGAATCACTCCCTGCTCTGCTTCAATGGCTGTCCCACTAATGACCAGGGACTTTCTGCCCTGCTGACCCTCTGCCCTGTTTGTTCATTAGAGGATGACAGAGATCCCCACGACTGCCTGACAAAAGCCTTTCACTGTCTCTCAGAGACTAGAATAAAGCATAGCCTAGGAGGGTAAAATATGTCCTCCCTGACTTTTATCAACAGCTGAGTAGGCCCTGCCTGAGGGACAAAAGCACATCAAAGACCAAATCAAATAAGCCTTGAAAGAGCAGCATCTGCTCACCGAAGCTGCAAAGAGGGTTCTGAGGCAGAGAAAAAGGCTGAGAGTGTCTCAGGAAGAAGTCACAGCCAAGCTGCCAGTTAAGAGGAAAAACCACAGCCCTTCCAATCCCCTCCAATGCAGAAAGTCTGGACCACTTACCAACAGGAAATCTGTTATCACCTTCTCAAGGAAGCCATGTAAGCTCCCTGTGCAGCTCAGTGTTGGCTGCAGGGCTCAGGAGGGAATAATGATGAGATTGTCCTGCTTTACACCTGTACCCAACCCCATGCTAGATCCCTGTACCCTCCCTTGCCTTGGGTTTGAAGGTCTTTAGAACCCCCAAACAGCTACTAATCACTCTACCAGAGAGGATACAAGTTCCCATCACCAGTGTTCTGTAGTTCCAACCCTTCCCCTTCAGATTCCTTGGCACAGAGTGTGGTAAAACATACATGTACTGCAGCAATGCCTGGAAATCTGCAACAGCTCCTCTTCCCAATCATTTGGGGATCTAGAGGAAGAGCTCCTTAAGGCCCAGGTGGCTGCACAAGAGTTAAGTTCATCCCAGAGCAAACTGGGTGTGGAAAATCCAGTGTCAACAACTGACAAGTCTGCAGACTTGTCAGGAACAGAGCAGTAGCTATAAAACATTCTTCAACGCTAAAGAAAGCTTGTCCCTTAATTACCTCCCTAATTAGAGCTTCCACAGGCCTCTTTCCCATTCCTCCTCAGCAAGCTGACACGGGAGCTTTGTTCTCCCCAGCGAGGGGTCCCCATAACTTGTGCCAGGCAGACCTCCCACGTCTCTAATTAAGATCCTACTTTCACTTAATAGGACTTTGTCAACTTTCCAAAGCAACAAGGACTTTTGTTGCTCGAAGAGAGAAAGCAGAGCTCTGTCATAGTGAGTTTTTTTCCAGATCAGTTTGCCTGAGGATTTTCTTAAGTTTGGATGTGCAATGTCACAAACCTCATTGAGGAATGAAGGAGTTTTATGTTCCTCAAGCCACCACATTCTCTTTGTGGGTATGAATTTGACATCAGAGGATATACAAGCACAGAAGACATAAGGATTCATTGCCTCTGCACTTAAAATAGGAGAATAATGGAAGGGAAATAGGTGGAAGAGCTTACAAATGCCCCAGTGTGTTGCTCTCAGAGTGAATCCCTAGTCGAGCAAATCACAGACTCTGCTGCAAAACCCTTTTGCATTTGCAATGGGAAGAGGTGTGAAAACATCAGATCACCAGGTCTGTCCCACATCTCCTGGCTGCAAATAGCCATTAATATTTAGAGAGGCCTCTGTATGTGTGTCTGCAACTGCCCAGGAGCAATTCAGCAGAAATTCTGTGCTGAGTAATCCTGCAACAATGAAGGGAAACACACACAGAGCTTTTGGGAACAGTCCACCCATGATACCACACTTGTAACTATCAGCCAGCAAAGAACCTGCTTAGTTTACCATCACCCAAACTCCAAACCAAAGCTGAATGGTTCTGGAAGAGTTCTGCTGCAGTCCCAGCCCAGGCTGGAACCTGGCAAAGTTTGCCAGGAAAATTAGGGAACAATTTTTGCAAATTAAAATGGAAAGTAGAAAAGAAAAAAAGTCTTGGTTTGGCTTCCCTTCCCTTCCTTTCCCTGGGGTTTCCCCAAGTCAGAACACAAACCTCATTCTGTTGAACTTCTCAGTCCCACAGTGCTCTGGGATCAGTGGACTCAGCCTGCTTGATCTCTGTAAGTTTTAGCTCAATGTGTCCATGTATCCAGTTCCCAAAGGGCTCATTGCACCTTTTCTCACTTCACCTCTTCGCAGTGAAGGTTGATACACTGCTCATGTTTTCTTGCCCAACAAGGACCTCTTTTCCCTTTGCAGAGTATCCAGGGAAATCCTCACTGTCAAGGTGGGTAATTCTTTGCTGTTCACTTTGCACCAACAAAAAACTCAAACAGTTACAAACTCTCCCTGGTCAGGTTATTGTGCTGGCTGAGTGGCAGTGCTGGAGCTGTGTCTCTGCATAATAAAACCCATGGCAGAAAGCAGTGAGTAATGCAGAGCTCCAGTGAGATCCCTCTCTGCAAACTACAGAGCTGTAATTTTGGTGTTATTGAAACAAGTCTCTACAGGACCAGATCAAACATTCTCCCTGCATTTCCCTTTTTATGCAGGGAAAGGATTTACCACTGTTTCATAATGGTGAGTGAGCACACAGCTTCTGCCCCTGAAATAGCTGTGATCCAGGTGTAACCACCCTGCTGCCTTCCTCCACCCTTGTCCCCCTTTTCCTAGGGCTCTTCCTTCATTTTACAGAGTCATTAAGGTTAGAAAAGACCTCTGAGATCATCAAGTCCAACTATGACCATCACCACATCAACTAGTCCAGGCCATGTCCAGTCTGTCCTTAAACACCTCCAGGGATGGAGACTCCATCACCAACTGTGCTCTAGCCAAAGAAGACATGAGGGCTCAAGAAAACAATGATCACTGTCACCAAAGGGTATTTCATTCCTTTTAATCTTTTTGAGAGGCAGTTCAGGATACAGCACTGAACTGTGCATGTTGGAGAGGTGTTTTCCACTGAAAACAACACACTGGTGGTTTGGGTTTCCAAATAAAATGTATTATGGCCAGAGAAACACTAAATTAAAGAAAGTACATTAACTAATATGGACAGTAAATAATGTTTTAGTGATCCTGCAGTTATCATTGTCTATGCACTTTAACAAACTCACCTGTTTCAGGCAAAAGGCCTAAATGGTTCAGAAAACAGGCAATGTTTGCATTACTGTGTGACATGCTCCTCCTTTTGACAGGAGAAGGAGGAAATTTTATCCCATTTCTGCCTCAAGGGAAATGTATGAACTATTTTCAGACCACTCAAAGGCAGAAACTCCTGTGCTTGAACAATTCCATAGGAGCCCCCCAGACTGTGGTCCCAGAGCATCCTTTGCCATGAATATCCACAGCTAACCCTGCACTGGCACAAGTTTCATGCTTAGAACAACTCACCTTTTCATATTCTTCCTGTAACAAGTTTTTAACACAACACTGCTGGAAGGTTCTGCCTCTTTCTGTGGTTTCCCAAAGGAATTCAGAGTCAGGATTATGCACAGACAGCTTTGTGCTCCACCCACTGAGGAATTTTCATTCCCTTTGGGTCACTGACACGTTGCAAGGGTTAAATGCCCAGAAAGACACCTGAATCTAACCCACAGCACAGATCTGCCTTCTGGTTTTCTAACTGGAGGCAAATACCTCAGTGGGTGGAGCTGTGAATAAATACCATGATGGCATCTCTTGGGCCCAAGTATTCCAAATTCTGGACCATTTCAAACTCAATGGGTGGCACCTACTAATTCTTAATTAAGCCTGGAAATTCTTGTCTGGCAAGGAATGAAAAAACCAAGCTTACTTTGATGTAGAGACTAGAGGCAAGAGATGAAGTTGTGCAGTTTATACATGTACTTTGGGTGTATTTAGGTATGAAAAAGGATCTTCAGAGCCAACGTGCTGTAGTTAGACCAACATAAAACACTGTGCCTGATCCAAGCCTTGAGAAACCAACAGCTCTCCAAGCTACTCATCTTCTAATGCTACAGAAAGTTCTGTATATTGTCAAAAATAATCTCTCTGCCACTTTACTGTAGGTTGTCCAGACCTCACAGAAAACGCTGAGCTTCAAAGAGTTTCAAAGCAATTACCACATTATTCCATTAAAGTAATAAGTCCCTGAAAGCACCCAAGAATGCAGACACAAGGCTCTCCTGCAGTATTCGTGCAGAAGCAGCTGTTGCTCCAAAAGACTGGGAGGAAAATTGTTGTTTCTAACCAAAAAAAGGGGAGAATGAAGCAGGACTCACCATCCTCGTGCCCCTCTCTGTTCCTCCGCCGGTGTCTGTCTCGCCGGTGGCTGATAACTGACTCTGTTCCTGTTTCATTGTCCAGGCCATCCCTGCTGCTGGCAGCATTGGGGCTGTCAGAGAACAAAGAGGGAGAAACACTGGAGTCATCTCTTTTGTTCTGCTTCAGAAAAACAGTTACAGTTGTGAACGTGTTGGTTTAGGAGGCACAAAAACCATTCCGCAGCTCCCCCAGATTGTTCTGCTCACCCCAAAACCTCCTGAAGGGTGAAAGGAAAATACAACATCCATGCCCTGAGACATGGGGTTACTTGCACATTGCCAGGACATTGAGAAAGCTGTCACAGGGCTGTTGCATGAGAGAAATGATGGGCTGAGAAGGGATCCCCTTCAGCACGTGCTGAGGTGACATCCAAAGGGCAGAAATCATAGCTCACTGGCCACTTCAACACAGAGCAGTGACCTTGAAGGTTGGAGACTTGCAAGTCACAGCAAAGCTCAAAGTAATTAAGTGTATAGAATCATAGAATGTTGAAAAGGACCTTAAAGATCATCCAGTTCCACTGGATGGATGGGAAGGGACACCTTCACTAGCCCAGGTGGCTCCAAGCCCCATCCAGCCTGGCCTGGAACACTTCCATGGATGGGACAGCCACTGGGCAACCTGTGCCAGTGTCTCATCACCCTCACAGGGAAGAATTTCTTCTTAATATCCAGTCTAAACCTCCTCTCTGTCCATGGGAAGCCATTCCCCCTTGTCCTGTCCCTCCAGATCCTTTGTCAATAGTCTCTCCCCATCTTCCCTGTAGCTCCAGTGCTGGAAAAGGCTATAGCTCATTTGAATGGATTAAATGAAGGAAACTGACCTAAAACTCCTGGAAATATAATGTGACATGGGCTAAAGCTTTGCTGTGGAATATCTCCCTGGTCATACTCTTCCTTTCTGTGTCACTTGTTTAAAAAGGACTCTCCATTCACACTTGCCCTGTGCATGTGCTGTTCCTGTCTGACACATCCTCAAACCAAACCATCAGAGTGATGAATGTCTTTCTCCTGGAATTCCGTGAGGCTGGAGCACACAGCCATGCACATTTGACAGATGGAATTAAACTCCTAACTCTGTAATCAACTGGCCCAAGGCTCCTGTGGAGCTGGACCCAGAGTTGGCTGTGTTAGCACAACTGCAGTGTTGTATTCCAGAGGGTTGCTGTGCCTCCTGCACACCCACACACTTTCTGTGCTCTAATGCAATGGACTTGCACACCCCAGAAATGAGGAAATCCAGGTTGCCAGCCAAAAAAACATCTGACTGCATGTTTTAGGCCCTACCAAAATGTCAGGATGGATCTCAGTGTTGTCACATGTAGGTCTGCATTTCTTGCTTTGCCCAGTACAACTGAGAAGGGGCAGAGGGTGAAGATTGCTCAGGTCACCCTGTGAGGCTCTCAGACATCCCAGCAGCTCCATCTGCTGACTCCTGCTCATACCTCCATGGCTAAACACACCCACGAAAGGTGGTTTCCACCCCAACAAAGGATGCAAAGGAACTCACAGCTGCTTTGTTTCCTCTCTCACTGCTGAGCCAACGAAATCCAGCTCAGTTTTCAGTGCACATACCCAAGAGCTGTGTGAGAAAGGTAGCTCAGAGGTCACCATTCTCACCTCACACCTGCACTGCCAAACCAGGAGAGTCTCACCCACTCAGGTCAACGTGGATTGGGCAATTACCAAACAGAAGCAGTGGAGCATGAAGTACAGGATGAGCTTCAGAATCCCCATCAGGGAGGGAAAAAAGTCAGTTTTATTTGGATTTGATCAATGATGAGGCAAAACATCAGTGCTGTCAGGCAGGTGGTTGAGGTTAGCACTGATAAGGATCTCATTCCCTGGGATGGCATTGCCTGATGATGTCTCTGCTTCACCTATTCCTTGTGTTCTTTGTTGTCCAGCAACATTTCTGTTTGGACAACTACACAACACCCAGCTCAGCTGGCACCTCCTATTGACATAAGGCCCCCCAGTCAACACTGAAGGAGGAAAACAAGAGATGACAGATCTCTGGTAGACATTAAAACAACCTCAGGGATTTAGGAACCAAGAAGTCACACTTACTGCAGAATCCCCACACCAAAATCCCAAGAAACATCATTTTCCAGAATTTCAGGAGATGAGAAGAGGACTAAGGTCATGATTCAGGCTCTGGAAATCAGGCTTTAAAATGAAAGACTTGGGCAGTTCAACTTAGTTTAACAAATAATTTCAAAATCCAGTGGATTTTTTATCATTTGGAATCTTCAAACCTAGAGTGGGTGTGTGTTTTACAATAGAACTAACACCCTGGAAGATGCAGGTGCACCAGCAGGACACAGCTTTGATTCCCTGGCTCTGAGGGTGGACAGAGGAGCAGCTCCACAAGCACAGCCTTGTGTCTAACTGAGAGAGGAGTTCTGTTTTTCAATAAATGTTGACCTTGCAGCTATCACATGTAGGTTTAGGTGAGAAAGACAAAGAACTAGTTGGATTTGCAGGCCTCTCCCAGCTGATGCATGAACACAGGAGGGCAGTGCAGCCCTTGTGAGACACACTGTGAGGCAGGATCAGCACTTCCAGCATTTCTTGTCCCCCCCCTAGAAGGCATTTGGCTGTCAAAGACTCCTACACAACACTAAGGGCTCTCCCAGGCAACACTCAGCCCAGAAAGCAATGGAAACACATCACACTAGGCAAACCAAGACCATGTTTCCTTCCTCACACACAGCCCAAGATCACAGGTCCTGCTTTAAATCCTCCTTGCCTAAATTCAGAGGTTTTCCCTGAAAATGAAGGTATCCTGAGGATACATTGGCTCTTCACATGGACAAGAAATAACCATTTAAGCAGAGGATTCCCAGTGTGGTCACACTCAGCCTCTGCATGCACAGGGAGGAGGAATCATTATTCCTTATGGAAATGTTTTCCCCTGATAGCAGAGTTCTGTTGGCTCTGCACACTCCATAATTACACATAACACACTAATAAGTTGTCATGCATACGCTACAAAAAAGCACTTTGGGTTCTCTCACTACTTAACTCCTCCACAGTGGGTTTCAAAATGAGATATTTTGGCTATTTCATTCCAACCATGATGGGGTTTTTTTTATTCCCATCCCCCTTTTAATCCCTCAATATATTATTTTATAACAATAAACAGCTGGCTTGGATCAGGAGGGTGAAAAGTGAGGGGAAAATCAGACAGGAATTAGGGTTTTTTTGTTTAAAATAAGTCCATAAGACAATTGGCTCTTACTGGAATGATGGAGGTCTGGAGTCTCCGATGCCTCCTGTTCTCTCAATGGGAGGTGGAAGGTCTGTGTGGCTCTCTGTGCACTGGGAGCCTGTGTCAGAGTGGGAACTTTCAGCCAGGACCAGCTGTCAACAGAAAAAAAACACAAATTACACACACTTACACAGATTTCCCAACTCATAAAGGTGTTCAGCCACTGCTTTGCTAAGTATCCTGAGATGGGACAGTAAGACAACTCAAACATGGTATAACTGTTTCTACAAAGATCTTCATGAGGACTTGGAAACTCTTGGAAAACTCCACTGCTGTAACCATCACCTTCAAAACTCTGACACTGACATTGGCATT